TCACCGATAAAATCTCATTTCACCACGTTGATCGCGCAGTTCTCGTTTGCACTAGGATGACGCAGGCGGTTCGTTCGGCTACTTCGGTGGGTTTGTTTTAAAATATCCTCCAGGCTTAGGGAAGACAGGGGGATGAACGCAGAGGGGATGAACTAAGCAATTAAGCATCGCCATCAGCCGTTGTGTCTCGTTGTTTGTCTTCTGGCTACCCATCAACTGCCCCCTGTCTTCTTCTTGCCTCCGCCTCGGCGAATTATTCGCGTTCGAGATTTATTCAGCAGCGTCAAGATGCAGTTCTTCCACCCTCCTCGACTTCTTCCTTCCTTCGAGGAGGAAGTCCCTCGTCTTCCAGAGTTGTTGCAAAACAGCAGAGTAAATTATGAGAAGCTTGAACGAGCAAATTTACGGCCGTTTGTCGAAATGCTTGCAGCATCAACACCAGTTCGCGGAACTGGGCAGGAAGAAGCTGGAGCAGGCGATACAGCAGCTGCAAGAACAGTTGCAACTCAATGTCATTCAGCAGACGCATCTTCTGCAAACGGCGGACAAGAAGAAGGCGTCCGCCCCGCTTCAGCAATTGGCGCTGCAACAGCAACGCCTGATACAACAGTTGCAGATCACGCAGAGCCAATACCTTCTTCAACAGGGTCTGGGTCTTCAGGGTCACAATCCTTCTTCAGGTAAGAAGGAAATTATTTTTCGTTGGCTAAAAATTTTCAGCATTTGCAATGCTGAAGCAGAGGAATGACGGGAAGAGTTTTTGTAACGAAGGCGGTTAGAAAACATTTCTGTACAGAATTTTTCTCACGTGACGTTCTCAAGTCAATTCTTTAAATTTCAAGAAAATACGAGGAACCATTTTAACTTCAAGACTCTGCGTTAGAGATTTTCCTGAAACTATTCTTGCTCGTTATAAACGGGAGAGCAATTCGAAAGTCAAAGTTGAATTGAGAATCTCCAATTAATTGATCTTTCCGTTTAATCGTAATTTTAGTCGGACAGTTGTTTCGGTTGAACATTTTCTCGAGTTATTAAAAATTTTCTTGCTTGCTGAAACGGCGATTTATTTTATGTAATTTATTTGATCTAATTATGAAAAAAGATTTGTAAAATTAATGAACTTGAATACATACTATAGAAATAAAATTTTCTATTAATTTTTATAAATTCAATATTATGATAATTTCTTTAATTATGTAGATATAAATCAGATAGTAAATTGCTAATACTAATAGCTCTATTCAGTACATATATAAGTAATCATAACAAGTTCGAGCCAATAGCCAAATTAAATATATTAATAATTAAAAATAAGAGACCTCATACTTAAATTATTCTTACAAACAACAAGTTTATATATTCTAACAAAAAAATTATAGTAAATAACCTTCTGTAGTATTCTAAATTGAATCCTGATACTAATTCAGACTTTCCTTCAATTAAATCAAATGGTACACGATTTAGGTCAATTAGTATACTTAATATAAATATAAAGTAAAATAGAAAATAGAATGCGATATTCAAGGATTGCTAGGTTTAGGTTAGGTCTCTTTCAGAAATAATTTACCCATATTTTATTAGAGACGCGTAATTTCCGAACGTGAGTTGACGTTGGAGGTGGACCCCTGATTTAAACAACAATCCATCGGGCCAACCCCGAGTGCTCTCCCGTTCCCCACAAGTAATCCCCACAAGCCTTCCCCCCTCACTTTCTCATTTTCCACTTCACCCTGAGCAAAACTTTCCGCGCAGAAGTGTTTCGGTTGCGTCGGATCTCGTTCCGACGATGTTTTTCTTTCTGACGCGCGTACAGGGAACGCGAGGAGGAAGGGTGGAATAATAGGGCCAGGAAAGCGACAGAACCTCGTTCACGTATGCTCCTCGTGCTCCTCGATTCGAAAATTCACGCGTGAAATAAACTTGGCTCGAGTATTTGACGAAGAACTGGAAAGACGAAAGACGGAAAGTGGCGTGTTCGTTATATAACGTGTTATTTACGTTAGTTTCTTTCGTTGTGTTATTTAGATTTCACTGTATCGTTGCACTTTTGATTGTTTTAAGTATTTTTGGCTTGTTTTGCATTTGCACTTGTTTCAATTTTCGGCTCTGGTTCTCAAAATTTTTTTCAGTCGCAATCTAATTGTCATCGTATCTAAACTAAAAAGGAAAACAATCATATAAATGCTTTATTGAAAGTTCAAGTACAATATATATCGAACAAATACACCAGTATCTCGATTCGTTGTACGCGCCTCATTCATTATCAGAATTTTGCAGAACACAGCATTCAAAAGTTCATTAATGCAGAACATGCAACCATTTCGGCAGGTCTCCAACCTGGTGAAGGTCTACCAATCGTCCCCTGGAAATCGGAAACGTCGGATGGTCCGGAATCCCACCAGAACTCGAACGTTTCAAAATCCGTGGTCGCACTCAATGGTAAACAGAAAATTCTCCTCCCGCGCAACGATCGAGAATCGCGAGTTCCCCTTCTATGCGTTCCCAGTATTGTTCCCAATATTTTTCTCCTCGACTCCGTCTTTAACCACCTCCTTTAACATTCCATAGTCTCCTCGTTCTTTCTTTTGCTTTTACTTGGAAAATGCGACGTTCGTTTCCGGACTATCGCAGGACTTCTCAATTCGACAGTGTCGAGTCGGCGGTCGGAGATGAACGGAACCACTCCACTGGACGAGAAAGCGCTGGACGTTTCCTCCAACGACAAGGTTCATCCCCTGTACGGTCATGGGGTCTGCAAGTGGCCGGGCTGTGAAGTTATTTGTGAAGACTATCAAGCATTCCTTAAGTGAGTTCTGCCAATTTTTCTCAAACTTTCGTTAGTTCATCCGGTCGATGAATAACCGGCAATCAATACTTTGGCAATGCTAACTTTCCTATGATAGAGCTAATAATCATAGACCACTGCTGCTTTTCTAGAAATTTGATTAATTACGAAAACGCCGAACGATACTTCTAAAAAAAAATTGGAATACTCAAAATCTTGATTTACACTACATGTAGCTTCCAAGAT